ATTCTTATGAATATATTCTTTTGTTTCTCTTGGTCTTTCCCTCTCTCTTCCTTCCAGGCTTTGGAACTCCATGAAAGGCCAGCCAAGTGCAGTTAAATAGTTATGATTTATGATTTTGGCCATGACAAATAACTTACATTGGGCTTGCCATCTTACCAGAAGCAATTAAAAAACTAGACAAAATATGTGAAATAATTGTTTTAAAGTAATACAGTAACAGTAGGGGATTTTATCACTCCATTTACATCAATGGATATATCATCTGTAGAAAATAAAAAAGGAAATATTGGCTTTAAATGACATATGAGACTAGATGGACCTAACAGATTTATACAGAACATTCTACTCCTAAACAGCGGAATACACATTCTTTTCAAATACACATGGAACATTCTTCAGGATAGATCACGTGTTAGGGCACAAAACAAGTCTCAATAAATTCAAAAAGATTGACGTCATATCACATATCTTTTCTGACCATAATGGTATAAAACTAGAAATTGATCACAAGAAAAAATCTGGAAATACATGAAGGCTAAACAACACTATACCACTGAATGGGTCAACCAAGAAACCAATGAGGAAATCAAAAAATATGTGGAGAAAAACAAAAATGAGAACACAACATTCCAAAATCTTTGGGATGTAGCAAAAGTGGTTTTAAGAGAGGCATTTATAGCAATTCAGGCCTACTAAAGAAACAAGAAAAATCTCAAATACACAACACAACTTACACCTAAAGGAGCTAGAAAAAGAACAAACAAAGCCCTAAACCAGGAGAAGGGAGGAATTAATAAAGATTAGAGTAGAAATAAATGAAATAGAGACTAAAAAAACAATAGAATAGATAAATGAAAACAGGAGCAGGTTCTTTGAAAAGATCAACAAAATTGATAAACCTTTAACCATACTCAGCAAGAAAAAGGACTCAAATAAATAAAATTAGAAATGAGGGAAAAGAAATAACAACTGACACCACAGACATATAAAAGATTATAAGAGGTAATTATGAAAAAGTACATGCCAACAAATTGGACAACCTAGAAGAAATGGATAAATTTTGGAAATATACAACCATCCAAAATGGAATCAGAAGGAAATAGAAAATTTGAACAGACTGATTACTAGCAATAAATATTGAATCAGAAATTTAAAAAAAAAAAACTTACGATATATAAAAGTACAAGGCCAGATGGCTTCACAGGTGAATTCTACCAGACATTTAAAGAATATTTTATACCTGTTCTTCTTAAACTATTCCAAAAAGTAGAAGAGTAAGGAAAGCTTCCAAATTCATTCTATGAGGCCATCATTAACCTGATACCAAAACAGATATACTACAAAAAAAAGAACTATAGGCCAGTATCTCTGATGAACAAGGATCCAAAAATTCTAAACAAAATATTAGCAAACCAAATCCAACAATACATTTAAAAAGATCATTCACCAAAATCAAGTGGGATTTATTTCAGGGATGCAAGGGGTGGTTCAATATTAATAAATCAGGCAAGGTAGTACATCACATCAATAAGGGAAAGGATAAAAATGATATGATCATTTCATCTATTATTTTTAAAAATCTTCTTTCCCCCAATTCTCACTCAACTCACCTTTTGAAACTCTAATTACACATATGTTGGACCATTTAACATTGTTCTAAAGATTTTGGTTCCTATATTCTTCTTTATTATTATTTTTTCTATATGTATTTTAGTATGGATTATTTCTGTTGATCTGTTTTGCTTTCAATATCCTTTCTTTGGTTGTGTCCAGTCTGCTATTAAACCAACCTAATGAATTCTTTATTTCCAATATTTTCAGTTTTAAGTTTTTTTTGAAATTTTCCTTTTTTTATTGTTTTTATAAATCTGTTGGGATTTTCTATCTGTTAGTCAATTTAGTATTTCTTTTGTCTAAATTTCCATAAATAATTATAGTAGTTATTTTAAAGTCTTTGTCCACTAATTGCAACATTAAAGTCACATGTGGATCTGCTTTTACTGACTATTTTTATGTCTTGATAATGGGTCATATTTTTTTGCTTCTTTGTATTTCTAGTAATTTTTTATTTTATGATGCTGGAATTGTAAATATAGAGACAGTGGATTATGTTATTCTTCTCCACAGATTGTTGCATTTTGTTCTGGGATGCAGTTAATTTACTAGCAGATCACCTTGATCCTGCTGAGACCTGGATTTAACCTTTGTTATGATGGGTCTAGTTCCATTTTGCCCTTAGCCTGATGGCTTAGTTCTCACTCTTACGGTATGGATTTCAGGGGTCTCATCTTCATGTCGGGTTTATTCATCAAAACTTCTCCACTCTCACTAGGCCAGAAGTCCAACAGCGCCCCAGTACTGTGCATCCTCTCTGACCTCTATTCAGTTTCTAGACTCCAAATAGCTGTTGTGTTCTAGACATCTGGGGTCTTGCCATGCACAGACAAAATTTAGGATTCAGCTATGAACTCAAAGGAGTCCTCGATGCACATGCCTGAGGGTTCTTTTCTTTGGCTTTTTCCTCTCCATGCCTTGCCCCACAGATTCCAGTTGTCCTGGCATCCATGAACACTGATATTTTGTATTCCAGCTCAGAAGGAGGGCATATAGGCCTATGGACTAGGAGAAACTGGAAGCCTGGAGACCTAAATTCGATCTGTGACCTTGGGCAGATGGCTTTACTTCTCGGGATCTCCTTAGTGTCTTTGTATGTAAGATGGGGGTAAATATTAGTTCTGTGGATCCATAAGTTGATGACATTGTAATCACTTGGGAAGATTAAAAAAATACAGCTACTGTACTCATACCCATACAAATTCTGATTCAGAAAGTTTGGGTGGGGAGCCCAGAATTTCTTTTTAATAAACACTCTAAGTAATTGTGGTTCTCAGCCAGGTTTGGGAAATACTGGATGTGATAATTTCCCAAGTCTTTTCAGGTCTAAAATTCTGTTAGTGTGTGGGCTTGATACTAAAGTAACTATAGCTCTGAGAGATCAAGTCATAGGATAGACATTTTTGTCAAGGCAGAAGCTGGTGTGAAGAGAAAAAAACAGAAAAAGACAAAAGCAACAGAAGAGGAAGAACAAATTTGGATGTGTCCCTACACTGAGAATCTGATCCACTAGGATTCAGTTTGAGAGCACCAAGAAGCTAGAAAGCCAGTAGAGAGTAGTGTTCCAAGAAAAATGGTTGGAAGGCAGGGACAGTCAAAGGGAGTTCTGACCAGTTAGTAATTTAGAAAAAGGCTGTTCTTGGCAGAGGTTGGGAACATTTACCTGAGAGGTATTGTACCATTAAACTTATACTCCATGGGAAGAGAGGGTTAGGGGATCAGAGAAGTCTACCTTCTTTTTTGAGCTAGATGTAGTGCAATTATTCCTAGAATGAATTGGGATATGAATAGATTATTGAATGTCCTACCCTAATTTATGATAGCCCTTTGTGTTAATCTTTCCTTATTCTTGCCACTTCTTTTTATTAAAGTCATTGCATATTTATTTGTTACTTTACAAGAGTTTGCCAGATCCAAGAAGGCAAGGACCCTAGCTTTATGGATTATTTTCAGTAACTTTCATCAGGAGGAAGCTTAGTCTAGTGGTTACAAAATAGGGGCCTGGAGTCAGACAGACCTAGGCATGTGGGCTCTGAAACAAATTGTCTGTGAGCAACTTATGTTTAAAATGAGTATTATTATTGTGAGGAATTAATAAGGATATATTTATATAGTGTTTTGGATCTTGGCAGCCAGAAGTCAGTAGAAGGGTTCTGTGTCAGGTACATTACTATGTATTCAAGAAATAGTAATGATGATAATTTTTTTCACAATGATTTTTCTTTTAATAGTACTGGATAAATATTTGTTAAAGTAATTGTCTTTATGAGCCAAATAAAGCAATATCAAGGGTATAAACAAACATTTCTTATTCCTTTGGGAAAGTAATCCCTGATGAAATGCTTTTCAGGGAGTCTCTGTCTTAATTATCCGGCCACTGAGATCTGTAATCCTAATAATAAAACTCCTTAGTCTCCTGTTACCCTCTGGTCAGGAGGTCTGTCTCTTTCCTTATAGCTAGAGGGGCTTTTGGGCAAATTAACAATTGGAAATCATGTTCTTCAGTGCAGAAAGGCCTGAAGGATAACTTAGAGGTTCTGATCCTTTGGACCAGACTGAGAGGAGAGAGTTCTTAGCTCCACCTATCATTTTCTATTCATTATGGTCATTTTTGGGTACCAGGACAATGTGGTCAAGAAACAGTAGAGAATAGCTTTATAGGTCTGAACTAAAGGAAGGTGAGTATGTTCCTAACCCTGGTGAGTCAGGTAACCTAGTGGTTATGAGTGCAAATCTAAGACACTGCCAAAGTTTACCTTCAGGCTGCACCTCAGTATTTTGGGGACTTGCGCTAGGTACCTAACTCCTTTGTTTCATGTGCAAAGTAGGGATAATAATATTGTGACATAGCTCTTAGTACATAGCCTCTCATAGGAACACCTTAAATAAGTGTTAGCTTTAAAAAATGATCATCAAACCACTTGATCTAGGGGAGACTGGAAAAATGTGGCCTCGCCTTCTTGGTTGACAGCAGTGACCCAGTGGTGGGGGTTCTGAGAAGTCAGAGTGTCTTCTCACAGGACCCTCTTCAGGGAAGAGGCTCAGGTGTCAGTGATGGAAGCACAGGCAGGAGAGAGAAGGACAGAAAATGGACTAATTTAAATATCTAAAAGACATCTATATGGATATGAATAAATTACTGCTTTCTCTCTGGAGGCAAAGTTTAGACTCTAACTGTTCTCTCTGGAAGTTAAAGTTACTTGGGGTGTAAGATAGATCCATTGCAAACAGTAAAAACCTTCCTACCATACTAACATTCAAATCTCTCTCTGTGGATTCCATTCTCCAAAGTGGGGGATGGATACTGAGAGAGTGGTGGTGTTTCTTTCTAACTGGTTCTCTTTTCTTTTCCTGAGACTGCCCTTCCTCCACCCATCCCCAAGAGGAAAATGGCAGCTAAGAACTTTTCTGTGACAGACTTTATCCTCGCAGGCTTAATAGACCAGCCAGGACTCCAGATCCCTCTCTTCTCCCTGTTTCTAGGTTTCTACATCGTCACTCTGCTGGGGTACCTGGGACTGATAACCCTGATTGGGTTGAATTCTCGCCTACACACCCCCATGTACTTTTTCCTCTTCAACCTCTCCTTGATAGATTTCTGTTACTCCACTACCATCACCCCCAAAATGCTGAAGAGTTTTGTCTCAAAGAAGAACATCATCTTGCCGGCAGAGTGTATGACTCAACTCTTTTTCTTCTGCTTCTTCGTCATTTCTGAGTCCTTCCTCCCATCAGCAATGGCATGTGACCGCTATGTTGCCATCTGTAAACCACTGGTGTACGCTATCACCATGTCTCCTCAGGTCTGTTTATTCTTTTTGTTGGGTGTCTATGTGGTGGGATTTTCAGGGGCCATGGTCCACATGGGAAGCATAGCAAGTCTGACTTTCTGTGCTGACAATTTTGTCAATCATTTCATGTGTGACATGCTTCCTCTCCCTGAGCTCTCCTGCAACAGCACTTATGTGCACGAGCTGGTGGTCTTTGTCCGTGTGGCCATTGACATTGGAATGCCCATTGTCACCATCTTCATCTCTTATGCTCTGATTCTCTCCAGCATTCTCCACATTCACTCCACTGAGGGCAGGTCCAAAGCTTTCAGTACGTGCAGCTCTCACATAATTGTGGTATCTCTTTTCTTTGGTTCTGGGGCTTTCATGTATCTCAAACCACCTTCCATTTTGCCCCTTAACCAAGGGAAAGTGTCCTCTCTGTTCTATACCATTGTGGTGCCCATGTTAAACCCACTGATCTATAGTTTGAGGAACAAGGATGTCAAAGTTACCTTGAGGAAAACTTGGAAAGAAAAATATTTTTTTGAGAAAGTAGTATATGGAGAAAGAGATATAATGCTTTGTTAGTGTGTGTGTGTTTTCAATGAGGGATCCAAGTTCCAGTGTTTTTTTCCTCTTCTGTACAGAAAGAGAATTTTAAGTCTTTATGTTTGGATGAATGCTTAATGCATATCTATTTTCTTTGTCCCTTGACCTACCTCGACTATTCCAAGACTGTCTTATGCATTTTTTCTATAATCACAAATCATTTAATCTTGTATGGGGCTTATAAACCATCTTATCTAACCTCCTCATTTAATAGACATTGGAAACTTAGAAATATTATGTGTTTTCCAGGGCCTTACACCTAACTGGTTCCACAAGGGGGACTAGAATCCAGACCCTTGAGAATTCTAATCTACATTGTTTTCCTTTCTGCCACATTTACTTGATTTATTGCTGCTCTTGCAGATTTCATTTTGAAAGTATGATATTTTAGCATTTTACTATCCGATTCCATTTATAGTAATTTAATGTAACTTCTCAATAAAAAACTTTTTAAAAATAACTTTTTAATATTACATTTTTTTCTTTTTTAAAGTTTTTATTTTAATTCCAGTTAGTTAACATACAGTGTTATACTAGTTTCAGGTGTACAATATAGTCAATCAACAGTTCCATACATCACCCTGTGTTCATCACAATAAGTGCACTCCTTAATCCCATCACCTATTTCACCCATCCCCCCACACGTCCTTCTGGTAACCATCAGTTTGTTTTCTACAGTTAAGAGTCTGTTTCTTGCTTTGTCTCTCTTGTTTTTTTCCCTTTGCTTGTTCATTTTGTTTCTTAAATTCCACATATGAGTGAAATCTATGGTAGTTATGTTTCTCTGACTGACTTATCTTGCTTAGCATAATACTCTCTAGTTCCACCCATGTCATTGCAAATGGGAAGATTTCATTCTTTTTTATGGCTGAATAGTATTCCACTTTATATATATATATACCACATCTTCTTTATCCATTCATTAATCAATAGACACCTGGGCTGCTTCCACATCTTGTTTATTGTAAATAATGCTGCTATAAACATACATGGGGTACATGTATCGCTTTGAATTAGTGTTGTATTCTTTTGGTAAATACCCAGTAGTGCAGTTGCTAGATCATAAGGTAGTTCTATTTTAACTTTTTGAGGAAACTCCATACTGTTTTCCAGAGTGGCTGCACCAGTTTGCATTCCCACCAACAGTGTAAGAGGGTTCTGCTTTCTTCGCATCCTTGCTAACACCTGTTGTTCTTTGTGTTGTTGATTTTAACCATTCTGGCAAGTGTGAGGTGATATCTCATTGTAGTTTTGATTTGCATTTCCCTGATGATATGTGATGAGCATCCTTTCATGGGTCTGTTGGCCATCTGGATGTCTTCTCTGGAAAATATCTGTTCATGTCTTCTGCCCATTTTTAAATTGGATTATTTGTTTTCTGGGTGTTGAATTTGATAAGTTCTTTATATATTTTGGATACTAACCATTTAGCAGATATGTCATTTGCAAATATCTTCTATTGTGTAGGTTGTCTTTTAGTTTTGCTGGTTATTTCTTTCACAGTGCAAAAGCCTTTTATTTTGAGGTGGTCCCAGTAGTTTATTTTTGCTTTTGTTTCCCTTGCCTTAGGAGACATATTTAGAAAGAAGTTGCTATGGCTGATGTCAAAGAAGTTACTGCCTGTGTTCTCTTCTAGGACTTTTTTTCTTTTCTTTTTTTTTATTATGTTATGTTAATCACCATACATTACATCATTAGTTTTTGATGTAGTGTTCCATGATAAATTGTTTAACACCCAGTGCTCCATGCAGTATGTGCCCTCTTTAATACCCATCACCAGGCTAACTCCTCCCCCCCTCACTTCTAGAACCCTCAGTTTGTTTCTCAGAGTCCATAGTCTCTCATGGTTCATCTCCCCCTCCGATTTCCCCCCTTCATTTTTCCCTTCCTGCTATCTTCTTTTTTTTTTTTTAAAACATGTAATGTATTATTTGTTTCAGAGGTACAGGTCTGTGATT